GTATTGTCCTTAATAAAGCCAGACGGAAACCAGTAAAATGTATCCAAGACAAACTTTATGAAGGAAAATGTGAATAGTTAGTGCCAAAATAAACTATTTGAAAGAAATACTTTCAGCAGAGCTGGATTAAACTATTAAGAAAAATAAGCGGGAAAATGGGTGCAACAAAAATTTCTCATAGCTGGTTTTACCATAATTATGTAGTGCAGCTAAACCTAGAGAGAGAAAAAACTGGTGTAAACATATGTGGGGCACCAAAATCCTCGAAGTGCTTAAAACTCCTGAAATTATTAATATAGCCCAGACTTCCAGTGTGCTTCTACATTTAGAAAACTTAAAAACGAGTTGGTTGACAATGCTTTTTGACAGTTTTCAGCAAGAATATCAAAGGGATGTTTCAGTTAATTGCTAAGCTTTGGAAGAGATGTTACGTTCAGTAGGCAACAAATGGGTGTGCTATTGTAAAAAAGTACCATGGAATGCATTACATAGGTGCTTATTATATTAAACTCCCAGCAATATAAAAAAAGTTCCTATACAAAATTGAGCTAGACTTTAATTTTCTGGTGACAGGGCAAAAACTCGCTACCGCTCAGAAAATCATGATCTTTGGATGCAAGTAAATGTGACAATAATTGTTGCTAAATTCCTGTGCCATGGGAATTCTTAAACTTCCTCTTTTTGCAATTACGAACTTAAAGAAAGAATCTGAATACAGTCAGCTTCGAATAAAGTACAAGAAAAAAGATATATACACTAAGAAGAAAAATATAAAAGAATACAAATATAGAAAATATATAATAACTAAGAAAAAAGATATACTATACAAGAAAAAAATTGTTTATTGTAGAAAGATGGTAAAGTTACTATCTTAAATCATCAGCTTAATAAAAAATTGACTATAAAAAGAAAAATTAATAGCGTAATAGCAGTGCAGTACATATACAGTATTTGCAAATTGTTTTTTTCCACAACAAAACAGTGTGTAATTTTGAATTGGTAAATATTGTAGATTGAAAAACAAAAAATTCTTGCATATATTTTTAAGCAAGTTGAAACTCAATAACATTATTCAAATTCTCTTCAAAATACTGTTATTTTGTACCATTTATAACTTAGTTTCTTCATTTCTAATTATATTTATTCTTCCATATTTGTGCTGTATTCTTTTTGTTTCAACAAAATTTAATTATCCTTGCATTATCTATGATTTTGGGTTAACCATGGATATCATCCCTGCTGAATAAGGAATCTATTATATTATGTGATTATCACATTAAATAACCATATTTTACAGAAAACTGTAAATAGGATGGCATTCCCAGTTTTAGTCTGATTAATCGGAAGCTGAATGTATATCATTTCATACTGTATGATACCATAGGGCAGTGGTCTCAAACTCACAGCCATTTCCAATCATGCATTTGTTGCAAATATGGTGTTTATAACTTTGGACATAATATGCATGACTGCTATTGAAGGAAAAAAGATATTGTTGTGTTTCTGCATGGGTTTACAGATTTGGAGTGATTAATGACAACACTTGCTGAAGAATGAAAACACAATTTACTAGCCAGTATTACTCAGGACAGTTCCAACCATTCGGTCCTCTACCAAATTTTACACTAAAGTTAGCGAAGAAGTTTAGTGTAACATTTTTTAGAAGAGTGTTTTCCAAACACTTCTGACGACCACAGAACACTCACCACTTATCTTAAAAATCACACAGTTGAACACTACCTCATCAATGCATAACACAAAAAACCAATCAAAGTTGTAATTCGAAGACTACAGATCGACATGGATACCATAGAAATTAGTGACATTACTTCATCCTACCCCAAAAAATGATTTTTAGAAAACCCAATCTGTGTAAATTTTAGTAATTCTCATCCCGCGTCATCGTGGTTGTTTAAAATTCCCCAAACCCGAAACAACTAATGCAAATCAATCAAAAAAAATCATACTCTGAAGCAGTTCTAAATAAAGCACAAGAAATCAAAACCTCAGCAGCCAGAAATTAACTTAAATCAGTCTAACCGTATTCCCACCACATCCAAATCCAATCATATTAAAAAATTTCCAAACAACTCTCCGTCAGCCTTCCTAGAATTTTTCAATGCAATTAAAGAACTTGAATCAATTTTCAGCATTCCTTTCAATATTAACACTACTTATCAACCAAAAACTAAATGTGTTAAGAAATGCAATACAAAAAATATATATATATAAAAAAAGAAAAAAAATTATGTATTATTTCTATTGCTTGAAGAATCAAATAACTCAAACACTAATTAATTGGTTATTTTAATAAATAGTTAACTCGTCAATCATCTATTATTTGTAATTTTCAGTAATTATCTTAAATTGTTAATAACTCTCATCTAGCAGGTTAACCCCTCCCCTTACTTTCGGCTACCTTTTCAAAATTGGCAATGAAAAGAACTCCCTCCCTCTTGCACACTGAAGAACTCTCGCCCACCTATCATCACCTTTCTCCTCTTTGGCCAAAGACTGCTCTTACTCCTCCCCAGACTCAAGATCTTCCTGGAATGGTCATTAGATGGCACCACGTATGCTGCTCTTCCCAAGTTCTCCACCAGCTACTCACTCAGCTTTAACTAGCCTTCAGAAGTGGATATCATTTGCCTGTCCTTGGTGCTTATTTTTAGAATTCTTGTCAACAACATCGACTTACTTGTTCACGTTAATTTTGGACTTGCATTTGATTTTTCTAGTATTATGCTCGTCAACATTTGAAAAATGTTGCTCTTACTGGGATAGTTTTTAACCGGTTGCCCATTTCCACTGAACCTTCGGTTCACTGACGACAGTTCCAAAACACATTTACAGTCGCCAAAAACTACGAGAAGCTTGCTGAAACAATCGGTGACACAGCTTTCAGGCTACAATGGTGGAGAGAGCTTTACGGCAAAACACTCGACTCATTTCAGTCATTCTCGAGACTCTACACACTGCATTCGACGATAAGCTTTAGAGTACAGCTTCCGACTTGGTTCGGTTATTCTCAGAGCTCAACACACTCAAGATAAAACTCTAATGGATAAAAGATAAATGGGGTACTAACTCACTATCATCTAAGAGACTCTCAATGCACTCACCGACCAACTCGACTGACAATCAACTTGATAGACTGTGAGACGCTGACTATAAGTCATTCACTGCATACACAGGCAGTTTATATAGCTTTTGGGCTGCCTTCAAGAACATTCTGGTCCAAACCGATAAGAATTCGTTCTAGAAGGTTCTCCATCTGTCTATGGCATATCGCCAAATATGGAAACCATGCCTTCCCTTGCCACTTTTTAGCAACCCTAAACTTGCTTTGCAGGGAAACTATCTTACCGCAGCTGGGCATTTCTTAAAAATATAATGGTCTTCTCTCTGTCACTGCATGCTTGTATAGGAATAGGTAGAACATTAGAATTTTATCATTGGTCATGCAGATATCGTCCTGCCCATACTAACTATGCAGTTTGCCCCCTACTCAGAAAGAACACTCGGAGGGGGGAGTCCAAGCATTTCCTACCTCTCTTACCCTACAACTAACCTCTTGAGAGGATTTCATGTCGGTGTATATGGAGTGTCCTTTCCATACAGATGCCATATGCTTACAAATATAAATACTTTCTATAAATTCAAACTCGGGTCCATTGGTATGGCAGTCAAGGTCACTAATCAGTATACCAGCTGCCACATGACTAGGATAAGATGAGAGACTTTTCCACATTGGTACAATTAGTAAATTTAGCTCGACACTTATAATGCTATATTATTCACAAATTCCTGGCTAAGGGTAAGTTATTTGGTGTTTAATTCAGTGTACTGAAATTATTTGAAATAAATGCCAGTTTAAAATTTAACATTTTGCTGTTTAATATGTTTGAACTATAAAGCATAACCAATAGATTTCTTGCAGGTACCAACATTTAAACTTCAGACAGAAAGTAAACAAATTTGAATTCTGTGTTATTATTATTAATATTGTTAGAAATGTACAGGTGTGGTGATGTCTTCACCCCCGCAAAGCAGTTTTAGGGTTGCCATAAAATACCAAAAGAAGACAAGGTTGCCACATTTGGCGAGAAATCACTAATTTGGTGACAAAATTGGCGATATACCATGGACGGTTGGAGAATCTTCTGGAACGAATTCTTACCAGTTTAGCCCAGAATGTTCTCGAACACAAGCTGAAAACTATATAAACCCTGGTGGCCTTCAGTCAGTGAGAGTGTGTGCCTTGTCTAGTGAGCTGATAGTCAGTCATTGAGCGAGTGTCTCGTGCTGAGTTGGTTGTCGAGTGCATCGAAGAGACTCTTAGTGTATCGCGGTTAGTGCATTGTCGACAGAGTGCATCAAGCTCCAGGAACGACTGAACCAAAAAGTCAGGAGCTGTGCTCTGTGCATTGCGAGTTGTAGTGTGGAGAGTCTCGAGAGTACGTTGAGCTCCGGGAACGGCTAAACTGAAGAGTCGGGAGCTGTGCTCTGGTGCTTTGCAGTGAAGCTGTCTCCACCGTGATAGCTTGATAACCTGAAAGCTGTGTCGCTGATTGTGTCAGCATGTTTATAGTAGATTTTCGACGACTGTAAGTGACTTTGGAGCTATCCTGATTAATACTGTCTAATTAAAGTGTGTTTCAATATTCCATCAGGTAGTATTGACATTATTCACTCCAAATCCACATAAACCCTGTACGAACGTGAAGGAAGAAAATAACATAACAACTGGTGTCAGAAAAGAAAACGCAACAATGTTTTAATAATATTCAGCAAGTGAAATTTAAAATTTGGTTTAATTTTTTTGTTTTGCTAAAAAATATTTAGGCCCATCAGCTACTTTAAGATTGTGCATTCATTCGGCCCACAGGCAATTTGAGTTCAAGACCACTACCATAGGGTACTTAAGTGGAGGTGTTATTGGTTTAAAGCTTTATATACATAATATAGAATTATCACAACTGATTTTTCTACCAATTAAATGAGAGACATAGTTTAGCAATTTTTATTGTTTTGTATTTACAATATTCACATGCTTTTTATCGTTACATATTTGTCTTTTTACAACATCCAATTAAAAAAAGGATTGATATACAATATGACATATACATACTCCCCCCACAATATTTAGAGTCTATTTAGACTTTAGAGTTATCTATAAATGATTTAAAAAATAGATACATTATAATTATTAATAATCATATTTTTAGTTTAAAAATCACCAGTTATGATATTTATAATTATGTCAATCATGATTAGTATGACCAATAAAATTTAAAAACTCAAGATTTAATAAAAGCATCAAGAGTATTGCTTTGCACAGAAACTTTTTTAGACTTAGACAAAGATTTTGATGAATTTTTCCTTTTAGTCATAGTTTTTTTAGAATTCTGTCCAACACTTTTACAAAAATTTGTAGAATTTTTGCGTTTTGATGCAAGTTCTTGTGCAAATTCATTAGACAAATCTAAAGCTACATGATAATCTAAATGTTCTTCATCTTCCCAAATTGGAATATGCTGATTACATTTATCACATATTTTAGTTAACTCTGGATCCAAATCTGAATATGGATCATTATTAGATGAAAGTGAATATTCACCAGTTTCAGTAAAAAGACCACGAGAGCTAGAACCAGATTCCTGTCTTACAGTACCTGAAGAGAAAGAAATGTCAAAAGAAATTTTGTCCTTGCCGGAATTACTTTTATTGTCTAATGTGCTTGTATTTGATGAATGCTGAACTTGCTTGCTGGAAATACGCTCTTCAAGTTTTCTTGCAAAAAAACCTTTCACATATTTAGAGTTACTAGCAGCAGGTTCTGGTTCTTGTAATTTAGATGCACTTTCTTGAATTTCTTCATTTTTTAATTCAAATTCTGTCCTATCATGAGATGTAAACCTGATATTATTTTCTGTGCCACCATCAGAATCATTCTGATCAATATCGGAAAAATTATTTTCTATTTGATTTTGAAATTTGTTGTTTATGCTCATACTATCTATGTTGCTACTACTTGCATTATCATTATTAACTACTTTAGTGAAAAAGCTTGAAATAGTCTTTTTAGGAGATAATACAGTATAATTCAAATCAGAATTGGATGAGGTTATCACACTGGCGTCAGGAGGGTTGAAACTTTTGTTTTCATTTGTATCACTAGCCACTGAAGTGTTAGCTGCTTCAGGTATCTCATCGGTAATACTTTTTACATTTTCACCAGTCTGTTTGGTATTCACAAAAAAAGACTGTATATCACTTGTGCTGTTATCAATTTTATCTTCAAATTTACTTGCTGACATGGACAAACTATTAATTGCTGGTGACCTATTAAAAAATTTAAAGCTATAGAGCAAAATTCATTTCATTTAAAAACTAAACAATTTATGCACACTAAAACTGCTTTGTTTACCACTGATCACTTGAAGCAGGAGCAGTATTCAACTTCTGAATTGTAATGAGTGCATCATGCGCCAGTCTTTGTGCTTTGTAAATATGAATAGGACAAGATCTTGAAATGACTGAATATCCACTACTCCCACGAATTCGAGCTGTTACAGTTAGCAAACGAGCAATTCTTCGATTCTAGGAGAGGAAATAATCTTAAAACAGTTACAATTAATCACAGATCAACTTTCAATTATATACGAGTTTAACTGCATGGTGATATACTTATTTTAGCAAATTTAATGAATCTTTATTTCAAAAAATATTTCTTTTTCTTTTTTTTTAATATTACACGTAAACATACAACATTAGACCAATTACTTAACAAATCCAAATTTTATCTTTTTAACACCAACATTTAGTTATTACTTAATTAACTGATGATAAATATTTCCATTAAAATAATAATAAAAAGAGTACTTTCTGATTATTCATACCTACACCAAAGCAGCAGCAAATTTACTGATGACTAATTTTTCTGAAGGCAGTAGCCATTTTGAAAATGGTGGTTTACTAACATTTTCATAAAAGAACAATAAATCAGTAAAATTAAAAATGTAAGAATTGTTAAAACAGTCAACTTTTTTGTGAAATCCTTTTTTTAATAGACAATGATCTGTTTTCATTAAAAAAAAAAAAGAATTGCACAAATTTGGCATCCGCACATCAGCTTTGTGCACCAGCCAAAACACACATGTGATACATACATTTATGAGTTGCCACATAAATACTTTTTCTCGATGATTTTTCAGTGAGGGTGCACATAATCAGAAAGTACCTAAAGAACTATACTAACATTTTCTTGATCTTTCAGCAGTCTTTCTTCCACTTCACTTGCCAGCTGTGTTAACCAGTGAGTAACCTAAATTATAAACTAATAGTGAATAGCAAATATTTTGAAAAACCTGCATAATTTATTTATACTCACAGATATAAATAAGTATACAAAATGAAACAGCATTTTAGCATTCATTAATAAGCACCAATACAAAACTTAAAATACAAATTTAAAATTCTTGTAAAATATGTATTTTTAAGAATGCATATAAATTTAAAAAAAGTATTTTACTTATAATTCACAAGTATTCAATCAGCAACAACAAATATGGTACTTTTGCATTTTGTATTCTATTTTAAAAATACCTAAATCAAATATTTTGCAAAAGGTTTGACAAAGTCAAGAAATTAAGTTATTGTTTTAGAAATTAATAAAAACAAAAGAGGAAAATAGCAGCAACTGGCTAGCTGTTGAAAATAAAAATTATATTAATGGACGCTAAGCTTTCATTTTAGGTGAGTTATAACAACTTTTTAGCATCGGAGGTGCTATTAGTCTCGAACTTTCCCTTTCTGTCCATATCACTTTACAAATTGTTGCCATGTTATCACCATTTATTATCTTTAAAGAAATTTAATAAATAAAAAATCTATGCATGTATCGTGGGAAAACGATATCAGCCAGGGACATCAAATTAAGAATACTGGTAGTTCTTTCCCTGGAAGTGCAAATTTTGAAATTCAATTTTTTTTAATTATTTATTCTAGATTTTGTTACAAATTTAATGAATTTTTGACTAACAAACTCTGCAATCTGAAAACGAGCAGTGGCAATAGTGTTTGAAATAAAAAATTTTTATCTTTTAATCAACAAACTTGCCTATTTGAAAGCACTGTTTGCCAATGCTGGAAATAAAATGATTTTATCTTATAATTATTTAAAATGCTTTCATCTTCCCCAGGCTACATTAGTTTTTTTAAGCCTAAGATATTTAACTTTAACATTACACTACCTGGATTCACAAAAATCATTACATAAATTTTCTTCTTTTATGATAACTATTTTAGGTAGCTGGCCACACAAGCAGCTAGTTTTTAAAGAAATAGCATAGCAAATATAAGAAAATGTATGGCAACAGTAAAACTCTTATCCGCATTTGCAATTTTGCTATTGAATTTCATGTGGTGTAAATGCAAAGAATGTGAAACTTAACAAATAAAAGTTAAAAAAACACAAAAAGTTAATAATAAAAAGACAGAAAAGTTATGTAAATCAATTTGGATTCAAAATTCATCATTGGAATGATGAACTACGAAAAGACTGACAAAAATAGAAAAATGCATGGCAACAGTTTATCAGGAATTCTAAACATATGATGCTTTTAAAAATTTTGTAATTTTGCTATAAAAATTTATGTGGCATAAGTGTGAAGAAAGCAACATTTATTAATAAAGCTAAAAGGGGGGGGTTGTGTTAACAGGAGTGGGTCCAAGACATAGACAAGATTAGTAAATTGCGAGCTTAGCAACAACATAAAAAAAACCTTAACAAATCCTCTGGTGCTACATTAAAAGTGGATCCATTCCGATTTTCTTTCTTTTTTTAAAATTTTCACTCCATAGTTTTTTTAGTATATGGCATGTACTGTCACTTCATGTAGCAATATTAGAAAAATAACACAATTCTATATCAACATATTTACTGTCACCAGTAACTTCAGTGAGCTCTATTCAGGCTATTCAATCATTAGTGATTGCAACAGAACAACAAACACTGGAATGTACTACTTGTTCTTTCAGGACTGATGGTGGCTTGAGTCTGATAATCCTTGACAATTAACAGCACAACTTTGCCACATGGTGACACTGTAGTCTGTTACACAATTTACATATATAAGAAAAGTTGTTTTAGCTATGAAATTATTATACTTTAAATGATGATAAAAGCTTTAATACTGATAATTGAACTGTTGAAAAATGCAGAATTTTGAAAGGAAAAAAATATATTTGTCCTCCTTTTAGTGGTAACTTTTAGCAGAAAAGCTGTTATTAACAATAAATTTTCCTAAATAATTACATGCATGATAAATCTTTTGTATGACCCAATTTTAAAAATTTTAATAGTATACAATTTAATAAAATATTTCGCATACAAAAAAAAATCTTAAATTGCAATTATGTCTTCTTTCTTACTGGCAACATACTAGTAACATCCATATATATATCACACGTTCAGATTGTTACAGTTAGAAGCAAAAAACAGTCAAAGTATAAATATATACTTTGACTACACAGTTTATGCACATGTGACAATTCGTACAAGTAAACATACATATTTTATTGTTCTTTTTAAAAATGTAAAATATCCACCTAGTATTAATGAATAGTCAGCTGAAATAACACAAGATGGCAAATGTATCAAAAGAAAAAGTTCTGAAATCAACAATTAAAGTATACTAATATCGTTTAAAACACTAATTTTTTGGGAAGCAATAACAATGGACAATCTGCAAGCTTGGAAAAGTCGTTATTCTTTCTTTACAGAATGCTCAGTCGTCAGCCTCCTCTGCCCCACAAGAAAAAAAAAAAAAGACGTACGATATTTGACGACATATAAGACGCACCCTTATTTAAAAGGCCACACACATGTAGATGTAGAAAAAGTTATGTGTGTCTAGATCTTTATCTGGGCTAAAAATAGCATTCAGTATTGAAAGTTAACCTGTGTCCTTCACGTATAAGACGCAGGTAACTTTTTTGAGACCAAATTTAGGAAAAAAAAATGCGTCTTATATGTCGTCAAATACAATATTTATTTTCATACATCATATCAATTCTCTCCCAGAATATTGATTCCTGACTGCAAAGTTCTAATACATATTTATTTCATAAAAAATTTTTAATCTGGTTAATTACATGCGTCATCATGTTTCATAAAATTTTGTGTTTAATTATATGTCTCATCAAACATTCATAAGCTAAAATTACTGTATCTTCATCAGAATAAAATACACACACTTGTGAAATGGCATCTAGCAACCATTTTTCATTAGACTAAATAAATGAAGTTAGAAGAACACAAAATAAAAAAATTCTACATGATGATGTACAAGTCCCGACTCAAACAGCATACATATAAAAAAAGAAACTCTAACAATGCACTATTTATACATTCAAGAAACAAAGTTGAAATCTAGATGTATACTTGATCTTTAGTACAAAGGGCTCCTTTCCCAGGAAAGTTTTTGCCACAACCGATAGACTTGGGCAACTGCCTCGAAATCACAGGTTCATTTTCGATTCCCCGAGAGATATTATACAACCAACACCTTCAAAAAAAAAAAAAAAAAAAAAACTTTAATTTTTTAAACATATTAACTTTTAAGGAAACAACAAAATCAACAATAATTACTTACCCCGTTTTTTCTCCAAATGCATTAATAAATTGTGATTTTGATATTTTGAACAAATCTCCCATTGTTTTGGCATTGAACTTTTTAGTCACTTCTTCACCTAGTTTCCCTCCAAGATTTCGGCTACATTAAAAATCAATATATTAAAGAAATATTTAAACCTGTAAATCTCTACATATAGTAAAGATCTCTACATATAGTAGTATAGAGTCTGTGGGTGTGTGTCTTTCGTTCGCGCTGCGCGTAAGCTAATAGACCCACGGCTACGAAATTTGGTACATAAGTGCATTTAGACAAGAGCCAGTGCAACTCGAAGCGATTTTTTTCAAAATTAGATTTTTTTTTAATTTTATGTTTTGTGACGAAGTCGTGTCATTTTGAGACATAATGGGCTATAGGAAAGCGAGATTTTATTCTACGCACTCCTTTTCACATTGTCATGAAATGTAGCACTTAGCTATTTTACGACACTTAAATAAATTTCGTGTTTCATAAATCGATTAAATAAATTTATTTAACAAAGGAGCTTACACCTTTTCAACGGGATTTCTTCTGAAAACGTTTATGTTTAAAAATGTACAGTTTATTTTTCTTTGATTTTTGGACACGTTAACTTTCATCCTTGGACTGCTTTTACAAAAGAATTTTGGAAAAATTACAATATTTTGTATTTTTAAAAGATTTTTAAATGAAGCTTCCGAGTACATTTCTCCATCTCACATCTTTAAAAATGTGATTTTGGCAACAGATTTTCCTGTCTTATTGTTGTTGATAGATTTTTGATGAAATTGCATAATTTGAATAGTTTCATTCTTTTAGAATAAGGGTTTGCAACAATTTTCATCGTATTTCTTATTCACTGTTTTTAAGAGATTGGCATATTTCATTGTCCATTTATATATATAATATATACATTTTTTTGATTTTTTAAGTTGTTTCTGCAGAGTAAAATTCTACGCGGAATTTTAAGTTTTTTGAGCTGCTTTCATGTTATTTTTTGCTTATTTCACTGTTTGTAGATATTGAAAAGTTTTGCATGATCTTTTTTCTTCAACGGAAAGTTGGTTAATTTTTTTTATTAGGATAATTAATATTTGTATAAGGATATATCTTATTCAGTAATTTTTTTCCTCTTGAAATATAAGATAAAATACATTAATTATACTTTGCTTTTCAGAGTTTTTTGTTTTTTGTATTCTTTTATGTTTTTATGGTCATTTCACTGTTTTTAATATATTGAAAAGTTTTGAGTGAATTTTTTTAGAAACAAAATCCTTGCCTTATTTTACCATCTGGTTCTTAAAATGAACTTTTTGGTTTATGAAGTTGTTCTGCAGAGTAAAATTCTACGCAGGTTTTAAATTTAACGTTTGGTGTTCCCTTCAGCCATTTTTTTTTTTTTTTTTTGGTACATTTAAAAGCCAGACGAAGGCTTGCAGCGAAGCTGCTAGTACATAAGTAAACCTAAAAAATAAAGCTAATTTTATAAAAATATAGAGATACAATAAAAATACATTTAAAAGAAAAGTACTTTCTTCAGTTTCATGTACGATGATACACTTACAAATATTTCTTAAAGAATTACAGTTCATTATTAAATGTTTTCAATCATACTGAAAATAATATTCTATTACAAATTTTTAAATAAACAAAGAATTTGAAAACACTGTAATAATTATACTGACACCTTGCTGACTTTTATAGTATTATACAGTAACTGAACTGATGACTGAGGCAGGATTGTTTGTTTGTTAGGTTTATGCAGACCACATGACAACTTTGCAAGCATCTAAGAAAAATTGAAAAACATATAATTATTAATTCTTAGTATACAGTTTTAAAAATCATCAAATAAAATTAATAAGCTGCACAATACATTTTCAGGATAAAAGTAAGTTATAATTTTTCTACTTATGTGTTAATGAAGAAGGATTGGCTACTTTGGTGGTTAACTGATACAATTAATTTTTCTTTATTTTTGAAAGTAAATATTTGGCAGTTACTTCTAAAAAAGCTTCTGAGGTTTTTTACCCTGAGCTACAGCTTTCTGCTGCCAGATGAACTACGTTCAACTTATGCTGGTGTCTTGCGGCAACCTTGTTGTGGTATTTTTGAAGAACTCGGTACTCACTTGATATATATACAGTACAAAGTCCGAAATCCAGACCGGTCGGGACTTCAGCGATTCCAGATAATAGATCATCAATTTAAAACTTCCAAGATGGCATGCAGAAATTATACAATTAAAAATATGAAAGAGAGAACAATTATGATCTAAAGAGTATCAAAATTTACAAAAAAAAAAAAAAAAAAAAAAAAAAAAAAAAAAGGCTTAACATTTATTTGTTTACTTTATTAAACATTTCTTCCAATGTAAGTTGTTTAAGATGCTTCCACAAAAAATTCCTTTTTCTTTTTTCTTGTGTCATATACAGTGGACTTTCCAATGGCATACTCTTTGCATAATTTTGAGACGAATATGCCTTTATCCGTTTTTTTGCAGCAATTCCATTTTTTGTTTAATGGACATCGAAATATGGTTTTGCTTTGTAGATCCTTTGGCAACTCTTTTCAACATACTCTAAGTTCAAGCTCAGTTTTTATAAAATTGCCGTAATAATAACAGTCTGCAAAAAATAATAAGCTGGATCAAATTAGAAGATCAGGGAGCAGCGCAGTCTGCTACATTAATTGAAATGCCTTAGAACAGTAAAGATAATTTTAGCCTAGCTTGATAGCATCCATTATACATTATTGGCTGTGTATCACAAGATTGGTGACAAAAGCCAAGTTGTTTTGCTAAATTTTGTCTTGCTCCCATCATGTACTGAATTAAGCCTGAATTGCATTAGTTTAGTTATTTATTAAACTAATACATTATTATTATTATCATTTCATGCACATGCTTCAAACTAATCCGAGTTCTGAATAACTAAACTCCCACATATACTTAAGGCTTTGGCCGGCACTCAATACTGCCTAGTGCAGTCTCAACGGGTCCTAAATTCTGCTACAAAGCGCTTTCCTAAGTTCTAAATTTCCACCGTGCCTAAACTTTAGATCCCAGTGCTTTCCCTAAATCATAAAAACTTCTCATCCCTTAATTTCGCTGCTTGGTGCTTCCCCAAATTCCAAAAATTTCGTCTTCCTAAATCCTGCTGTCCGATGCCGACATATTTTGTCACCGCTTCTGGATTTACGGTGAATAACATATCAGTTCTTCTTAATTAAAATAGCACTAAATGTAATCTTTTGACCTATGAGTTTCATTAACAAAATCTATTTTTAGCATATGAAAAAAAAATTTTGTTGAATATTTCCTCGTTAACATTTAAAAATATATAATCATCGCCAAGCGTAAAGTTAGCATAAAAGGTTGCCATACTCTTGTTATTCAATTAATAACATAAAAAATAAGTTTAGACATCACTGCATGAGTTATTACTCAAGCTGTTATGTATTGATAAACATGCAGTGATGAAAGCAAAATATAATAAATAATGACTCGCCAGGTCAGTATCAGAGATATAAAATAGGTGAATGTTTCGGTTTGAGATGATAGTAAATACTCAGCTACGGAGCCAAATTATTAATCTCGCAAATTTATGCTTACATGATTGTTTTTCCATAACGAGGTATTTTATTTAGTGCCCAAGTGAAATTAAGAATTGGAATTTTAAGTGAAAATCTCCATATGTTTTATTATGGAAGGAAAAATCACATGTGCATGTGTAAAGCATTAATAATATAATAATAAAAAAAAAAGTTTGTGATTTAAGGTCCAGATTTCGGACTTTGTACTGTACAACATTATTATCAACCATGTTGAGTTCTTCCATGCAAAACCAGTTGCTGACTTGCATTCCCACAGATTCCAGGTCTTTTGAATATCACCATTCACTCTTTCATTGACTCTGATAAAAACTTCATTTCATGCAAATTGGAACATTGACGGTTACTCAGCAATATATGATTACTATTGTAAGAAACTAATAGCATCACCTTCTATTGGATGCCATGTCTCTGCAATTCTATATGAGCAGACATGTAATAATATTATATAACTACAGAGATGCTCTGTTGGCATATGAGAGAACTTTGTGTAGAGTCGTGAAAAAAAACCACATCTGTAATGGTCTGTTTTGTGTTATGTAAAAGTACTGCAGTCACGAGAGTCTTCCATCTGAAAATATTACTTATTATTAAATGTATGTGCTACAGTTCCTTGCTTACAGTTAATTATTTTTTTAATAGTGTAACCATACATAGTCATTATTTGGTACATCCTATCGATCATAATCGAACTATTAACTTTAAAAAAAAATTCTTCTTAAAATGTGCAACATCATAGAGTTGCAATACCGATTAATTTGCGTTATAAAGCCAAAGTTGGTAAAATATTAGCTTTTTTGGGGGGGGGGATTTTGATTTTTTCTCCATTAGCATTTAAATATCATACTTTTTTTAAAACTTTTATAGAAAGCTTTTTAACCACTTATTAAATTTATAAAATAAGCCACTTATCAAAATATGAATGTAGTAATATACACTTTATAAAGCTTTACATTTTATATTACCCATGTGAAAATTTTAACTATAACTTAACATTTCATCTTGGTATCATCAATTTTAAAACAAGGAACAAACAAAATGTAAAACATGCAAATTACAACTTTTATAACTAAGTTACTTTATATGCTTTTAATAATAAGATTATAAAAGTTTATTAATTTGTTATAAAACTGTAGTAAGCAAAACATTTACCAAATACAACACAATGTATATGTGTGACAGCAGATGTTTCACTGCAAATTAAATAGCAAAAACAAAAACAAACAAGCGCCCCCCCCCAAAAAAAAGAAAAAAAAACGTACAAACTTGTTTTTATAGTCAAATAACCCTAACCTCAAATACCCTGTAACATTTTTTTAGAAACAAAAAAGTAAGCTAAAATAATATTGGATATTTAAAAACTAAAACTTTGGAAATGAAATGCCTGTACCACATATGGGTAAATCATGCTGTGCAAAAAAGGGTTGCCCACATGGGGTACTGACAAAACTATTAAGCTATTAAATAAAATTTTATTCAAGCTCAAGTAATTATGATATATTTTCAATTGATTGTATGACTACTAATTCATCACAGTTATCTATAATTACTATTCTATTACATTATTAATTAATTATCGAAACTAATCTATTACAATAATCTACCACAGTTGAGACAATTATTACTAATCTAAACAGTAGTAATCTTTAGATTATTAATGTTCATATTCTAATAAGAAATTTTATTTTCCATGAATTTTCAAATTGATAAAGTCCACTGGAAATTTGTGGAAATTAATGTATTTGCACAAGCCTATAAAATTTCTAACATAATATTTTATAGTTTGTTGTTTGCCATCTTCATATTAACTTCTTTTGATTGATAATCTGCTAGTCACAGCTTATGAAATATTTGCATTTTTGTCATCATTTTGCCAGGGGTGAAGATGATTTCTTTCCAGTCCTTTCCCATGCTGCATTTCTGTCAGCTTTGAAAAATGAAAATTTGAGTGGTTCTTGTGCAAAAACAGAGAATTTCTGGAACGAATGGATTATTTCATGCTGGCTAGCAATGCATTTCAAAAGAACTCTAAAGTGACTTAAATTCGCTTTATAATGCATGACTTGTGTTACTGAACTATTTATAATATGATTCTGATGTTAAATATATTAATATTTAATCAGATATTCTAAATTGCACATTCTTTTGCTAATTTAATTTTGTAATTTTCTTACATCTTTTGCACTGAGAAAATTTGGAATAGGAAACCAAAGCTTTTATTTCTCAAAGTACTTTTAAATACAACAGAAATAAAATTAATAATACAGGTATATACTGTTGTGTGGATAAATGAAGTAATATATCATATATTGACTTGATAAAATCTAAATTGATTAATCATTGGTTGAAACTTCATAAAAAGTTCTACAAATAGCTACAGCAGATTAAGACATTTCAGATTAAATACAATTTTATATATGAAATTATATCCCTAAAAAATCATGAAAGGTGGAGGAGTGGAACTTCATAACTTAAAATATATTGATTCAAGATATTTCATTTATTGCTCAAAAACATTTTCCTTGGTAAAGACTAAAAATAATGAATCGGGTAATTCAATGATTTATTGGCAAACAGGTATGATGAAAAACCAGGCTAGTTGGCAGCTATGATATTGTGGGTATGTGAGGAGGGGGGAAAAATTCAAATTGAGGTTTTTGAAAATATGTTTACAAGATCATCTCAAAAGTCAGTACAATTACTGATTTTCTCACAATAGCTTCTTTCAATACAATTAAATTGATTTTTTTAAAACAAATCTACCTTATTATGGGCTATTCCAGCTGAGCACCTGTAACCAGTTCTCTCATAAACAGCAGATCTCATTTCTTCAACAATAACTGCTGCCATTGCCAACATTTTATCATTATACAAATGATCTTCTTCATATATCATTTGAAGCCATTTATGAAGTTCATCTAAAAGTAGATAATACATATCAAATTATTAGTATAGTTAATATTATATTTTCATTCAATCCTCAATTCAATTATGCTTATTATAAATGTTTTGATTGCTGATACTGTTAATTATCAATACATTTTACCTTCACTACAGAAACTGCAATAATATGTTTTGTAAAGTGCATACTTCCAGCTATGAACCTATAAAATTGTGAATTTTTGTTAGCATATACAGCATTTATTCGCAAATTCCCCCCTTTTATCACTAATTTTAGTGCTTGAAGACTGGAAAAAAAATATGCAGTTGATAATATTTCTGAAGAGACAATTCAAATGATACACATAACACATTAAAAAGCTAACGTCGCAGACTGCCAAGCCGAAGGCCCGGGTTTGAATCCTGGATGCTTGTAAAAGTATAGTGTCTGTGTGGCATGGGGACACTCTAAATATGTGGCGAGCTGAAAGTCTTCTCGAGAAGTTGGTGGTAGGGAAATAGGGGTGGGAGACCCTCGGATGCATCCCATCGGGGTGCTCTACATCAGAACTGGGGGGGGGAAACTGAGGTGAACTGCGCTGTCATCTGGAAAGTTCTCAAGGTTGTTGCCGATGGCAGATGTACCTTGTGCTCTTTGGTATGAGGAATTTTGTGGGCTTGGGCTGACTATAGGTCAGACAAGTGAGCATTAGTCAACAACAACAACATTAAAAAGCACACATAAAGATACACAACTATTAATATACATTACATATCTTAAAGAATTTATCACTTTCAGTAATATTTTTTTTTTTTTTTTTTGCTTACACAAGATGATTTCTTATTTGTACACACATTCTGCACTGCTATCAGAAACCAGAAGTTTCTAAATCATATGCTGAAAAAACTCCAAGTGGAAAGTATATCAGTAAATATGGTATTAAAATGATAATTTTTGTTACTTCATATTATCCATCGACAGTGAAACTGTCACCAAGCAATACAGTTTAGCTTCAATTATGCATAAGAGGGAGATACCAACACACTTATAATACCTACTTGAGTGATTCTTGATACTTTTGAACAAGAATGTAAATTAACTGTTACTGCTGTATGTTTCTACACATTTTGAAAAAATAAATAAATAAATAAATAAAATTTGGGATCTGCCTTCTACAGAACAGTAAACAGCGGATTATTTTCGAAGTTATGGGATTTTAACATAAAAAAAAGATACACTACTTATAGTTTGGATATGATATAGTCACCTGAATATGGCCGATAAAACAATAATAGATTGAAACTATTACCTATGGGAAGTTTGTACTCATATCATTCTAGAGATAGCTTTCAGTAAAATTTAACAAATGTGAGAAATCACCGAAAGTCTTTTTATGAAGTGGATCAAATACTGATTGTTTATTAAAGAGGTGTCAGTTCCTTCAGAATTCCACAGGAACAATTGGCAAGATCTCTGTCTACTTCAATGGTTCCAGAGCAGCTAACTTACCCAGATGACAGGATAATACCCATTTTTTTAATTAAAAGTAATATTAACTTACAATTCTAGGATTTCATACAATCATCTCGAATAACTCAATGTCATAGATTTTACATTACTTTTTACCCTAGAATAATCAGGGAAATCCTAGAATAATTAGGCATCTTCAGGAAGGTGATAATTTAAAATGGTAAGAGTGTTAACTGATGATGCACCCTTCACCAACCACACGATTCTGTGTTTTGAAAACTCCATGACAATCACTTTATTTTTCTACATAATAGCTAATCAAGTACTAATTTTTTCAATTCCCCTCCAAATGTCATTATATTAGAGTTTTTTTATGAATCTGGATATTATTTGATCATTATAAATCGCCTTAAGATGAAAAGTGTAACACAAATGCAGCATTAAAAAAGATTAAATACTTATAAATAGTTATCTTTCAAAGCTGTGTGACCTAAATTTTTTTAAATGATTAACAGATTTTGGAAACATATAAAACATGCTACCTAAAAGGAAGAAAAGAAATTAATTGTAATTTTTATCACCAAGCGCACAGCAGTAGCTATCATTTCTTAGCCCAAAAGCTGCTATTATTCTCGAAATGGGATTTTGAGTTGGTTCACTATAAATGGCGCATCAATTTTCAGATTGTTGACACCAAATATTATCCTGTATTATTTTTCTAAAGAAATTAAATAATGAAAAATATCCATGTATGTATGTTCCTTGCACTATGAAAAAATGACTGTACCTAGAGCCATCAAATTTTGAATAATGTAATCTTCCACCCAAACATGTGCACCTTCAGAAGGGTGGAAGATTGAATTTTCAATTTGTTTTATTATTTATTTCAGATTTTGTAAAACTTTAATAAATTTTTTATTGACAAATTGAACGATTTGAAAGCAAACAGTGTAAACACTGCTCGAGTTAAAACATTTTTATCTCTAGCGCACGAGACTGTTACTATTTGGAAAAATTCAAGATATTTATCTTCGAATTTTATTAAACATTCTGTGATTTTGCTTTTGAATTGACTTTTACGATGTGTAAAGAAAGTGATATTTAATAAATAAAGTTAACACATACAAAGAAAATTTTTTTGTTAGCTATCTTACTAAGAAAACTGAATACTGATATGATAAATTGAGAAAAATATGGAAAAAAATATAAAAATGTATGCCTACACTTAGCACTGCAACTGGAATTCTAAACATATGCTCTTATGCAACTTTTAAAAATTACGATTTTGCCATTGAACTGTATGGGGCATAAGTGTGCAGAAAATTATGCTTAATAATAAAAAGACAAAAAACGGGGGGCTTTGCAGGAGTGCAAGATCAGACCGGCAGAATGTGTGCTCAGCAAGAGCATAAAAAACCTTAACAAACCCTTCTGAGCAACTGTTAAAATCAGAAACCTTTCAGTTTTTTTTCCCTCCCTTTTTACTAAATGTTACTGCATTTTTTTAAACAAGACTGAGAAAATAGTAATTTTTTAAAATAATGATTAAAAGTGCTATCTTATGGTATGGTGATATTAGAAATATTTAAGATTTAAATGTGTTCTACACAGTTGTCATAGTATATCTATGAAAATTTGACATTAACTGAGGACATGAAAAAAGGTTAATTTTTCTCCAAGAGCATGATATTTTGCAAAATATGTGCAAATAATCATGATTAGAATGTCCAATTTGAGAAATAAATTTTTCGGAAAAACAATGTTAAATCACACGTACAACACAAAGGAAATCAGCTTAAAGGTAACTGTATTCCATTAATGACTAGAAAAATGGACAGATTAACCAAAACAACAAAGCAGAACAGCAAATCAATACTTAGATAGTTATCTAGCAAAGCTTGTGTAAAAATAAGAAAAAAAAAAATCATTAAGAGATCCCTTTATTGAAATTTATTGAAATTATTACAAAAACTGCTGTCCTAAATTTTCAGTCAATATTTAATATAACTGCACATTAAATATTTATTCTTGAAATAATTTTTATGCTCATTTTTATTCATAGTACATCCTTATGTTTTCATTTTTCATATCTAACCATCTTCTAAATAATTAAAAAAATTTAACACTTTTAATGTTTCATTTATAATTGCTATTGAACCTTCCATTATTATATTTCAATTTTTTTGTTACATCATGTGCTTTTCGTAGTAATGTTGCTGTAGCCAATTTTATCGGAAAGGAAAATTCCAAATAGCGTTAGATGATACATAGACATGATAACATTGGGATTTTGCTCATTGTTTAAGTCAAAAGAAAAGACAATGCAACAAAGGTGGGGCAGATGCAATAGGCAGCAAGCTTTTTTTAAATTTAAGAGAAACACTGAACAGCAAAAATTAGGGATGGCAAAGTTTTAGAATTTAGGAAAGGCATTGGATAGCAGAATTTAGGAGTGGCAAGATTACTATAATTTAAGACCCACCAGATTGAACCAGGCAGCAAAATGTGTAGTGCGGGCCCTGCCCCTTCTATAACCACTTGAGTTGAAAGTATAATCTTGACCAATAGCAGCACAGAATCAATCAATGTATTATTATCTAGAAATATATCCTAGCCATCATGTGTTTGAGAGTGAGTGACATGCAGAAATCTCAAATAGTCAGGAAAAAATAATGTTTACAGCACACCTGCTTTCTTTTGTCAAGCATTATGTGTTGTAAAATGTAACCCTGTACGTTTTAACAAATATCTTGTATCATTGTGTAATAATTATCATATATCTCGTATCATCCTTTAATATGTAATCTATTTTAAGCCTTCTTTTTTGAAGTACGTGTATGTCACCTTATGCATGTCCTTATATTTGTCACCTTATGTATCTATCGCACCTTATGTTCTACGTATCATGCATCCTGGCATCTGCCAATATTTGTATCTTCCTCACATTGTAACATATATCCCGCATAATAACCCTGTATCATGCGTCTTATTTCGCACCTTCTACCATGCATCCTGCCACTTATTTCACTCTGCACCTCATATTATGTATCTTGGCATCTGCATATATCTGTATCAACAGCATCTTGTATCATATATCTCGCAACATCCTGTAACATGTAACTGATTCTGCTCCTATATATCTTATATTCATAAGTATGTGTACGTCACCCAATGTTTGTCACATTAGATATGTTCTTATGAATGTCCCCTTATACATCTCATGCACGTAAGATGTATTTAGGCATCTGAATATATATATGTATCTTCTGCACAGTATATCTGTAGCCACCGTATGTTCTTATGTATCATGTATCTAGGCAAGAGATAAAGGTGGACGTGGCGCTATACCGATTAACCGTATTGGTAGAGGGATGGTGCCCACATCCTCCGTCGCATGTCGCATGTCAAGCATTATGTTCTCTATTCCTATATCATGTAAGGTTTTCACTTTTTTGTGTGAAGAAAAGGAAATATTGAAACTAAAAATTCTTGGTTTCCAATTTCATCAGAAATATCCAATTTAACAGTTCCCGAATCATTTTGACTATTTTTTTGCACGATATCTGTATGTATGGTTGGTATATTTAATTATGGCAAAGCATGAAAGTGCTATCAGCCTAAGGGAAGCGATGCTTTCATGCAGGACATTCTAAGGGAAACTGGCTTGTATGTATGCTACACAAGGGAAAAGTCATGAAAACGCCCAAGCACCCAGCTCATTTGCCTGGAACCGAGCCTAGGCCAGAACTATCAACATTTTACCAACTTTTTACCACTCGATCACTGGCAGGCCCTGTATGCATGGACAGAATAAAAGACTATTTTTTCCAAAATAGATTTGTTTCATTCATGATTTATAAATCTGTAGGTATGTATCGCATCTGTAGGTATGTATTTATAAATATGTAGGTAACTCAAAACCAATTAGGCGTAGAACGTAGAAATTTTGTATATGGGACGGCTATAGCATCTTGTGTGTTGTGCACCTCCCTTTTTTATTATGATCAGCAGTGCCAACTGTATATATCTATATCTATCTATATTTATACATATATACAAACCCCCTTACCCTGCTTAAAAGTCTTTATATGGCCTCTTTTATTTTCGCAGTCTTTAGTCATAGTCATATGTTTTTAGTTATGCAAGTGTTTTAAATGATGAAATTATTCATGTTTCGGTAATGCCAACATTTAAAAAAAAATTATTTTGGACAAATAACGAAATCCAACTTCGAATGGGGTTTCCCAGTTCGTGTACTTATATTTAGGAAATGTTTGCACTTCATGGAAAAATAAAAATACGAGAAGTTCGAGTCACATGTAATTTCAAAATTTGCAATTTTTGATGTCATTTTCAACTTGCCCTGTGGGATTGGGTAATTAAGTTAGAACAATGTGAAGAAATAAATTTAAATGAAGTGCAGAAAAAAAAATGTGTATAATTTAATAGGCCATACAAGAAAGTCATGTGGTGTCCACATCAGACATTTTTAAAAAAAAATTTTTGGCTGGTGGTCAAGAGGTCCAGATATCGGATCATTCCAGATGTTGGAGATCCAGATTTTGAGCTTTTTACAATGCTAATATTTGCAAGAACTAAGTCAGTTTTGATTATTATCTGCTTACAATAAAAAACTTATAATATTGTTTTAACCATGGTAGTTTGTAACTTATAAGGTAAATTCCAATATGTATTCTAAAATATATCTGTTGTATTCAACAAAGATCACACCTCATCAACCAGTTCTAAACTTAGGTCAACCCTTTCAGGGGTGCAATGTTATGATTTTTTTAAAAGTTATGAAAAAGTAAGCATAATGAGATGCAAGGGTCCTATAGACAACATAAATGAGTTTAAAAAAATTTTTTTTCGTCCCCCTTTATGGAAAGGTGACCGGTTTCGCCTTGAAACCAGCGCCCGTCTAGAGCATTTAAGACTAAACATTTGCTTATTTATCTTTACTTTGCTGGAAAGTATCTGAACGTAACCCAAATTGCAGATTATACTAGTAAATTACTGAACAACTAATGAAATAAGCAATATTTGCATAAACACACATTTTTAATTATAAATAAAAAATTTAAAAAAGGAAAAAATGAGACAAAAAGTAACTAATAATGCACTAAATTACTTGCATAAAACTATGAAATATTTTTTAAAATTATGTTAAAAACTAAGAAAATTATATGTGAAAATAAAATAAATTTAGATGCATACAAATATTTTACTACGAACTAGAAGCATGAGATAAGCGACAGCTAAGAGAAGCAGAATAAAAACGCAACTGTGAGTGTTCTTCAGTGTGCTCTGTGCCTCTGAAAAAATAAGAAATGTTTTCCCTCTCTCAAAAGCCCCATAAATCCTCATCTTTGAAGCCAAACGAAGATATGGTGCAACTGTTTACAGCAGTGATCCGAAAGCAACAAACACAGCTGTAAAAAATCTTGCAACTGCGTCATCTCATCCTTTCTTCGATATCTCAGAGGGGAGGTGTTTTCATACTGAAACCGCAATGAAAACATTCAAAATTAAAAGGGTTCCATTACTTTTTTGTGAACTAAGGACATTTCACTAATCATTGATGCCTGTTTATAAAATATATTGTGGAAAAATTAAAAATTGTTGGGTTTTTTGCTTTTAAAATAGCTAAAAAAGAATAGTGTCTAAAAGAAGCTATTTTTGAATGGTTCGTATCAATTAATGGATGCCCAGAAAGCTCTGGTGCTGCCATCTGTTATCAGCTTTAAGAAGTAATTTAATTTTAGCAGCGGTTTTGAGAAAATGAAACCAAACTTTCTAAATTAAAAAAAATGTTGAAAATGCGGTTTCAAGGCGAAAACACCGCTCCTGAAAGGGTTAAAAGAAGGGTATCTATGTATTAATGCTACCACCTTGGTGCGATATGGCATTTTTTTACAGATGAAAAGTTAAAAGTTCTCAAAACTATAAATATTTATTGAAGCTGGCATACATTAGCAACATACAAAAAGAAAACACGCTTTAGCAATTTAAAATACAAATTTTAATTATTAAACAAGGATTAAGTGATACATTTAAAAAATAAAACTTATTCTTCATCAACTCTTTCTGTAGTTTTTCCTCTGTTCATCATCCCAAGTACATAGAAATACTTAAAAAAAAAAAAAAAAAAAAAAAAAAAAAAACTATCAGAGAACTGCAAACACAGCCATCACACAAACTTCAGCAGTATCCGTTATCTACCAAACACATGTCCTCATTGTTCCCTCTAGGAGATTTACATCAAAATTCTGTATTGCTACAGAAATTTGACTGCAGCTTCTTCCATTGTGGGCAAATTCCAGAAGTGCATATTTCAAAATTAAGATTAAAGTATTATGATTTATTTATAAAAAATGTTGAACTCTGGGATACAACAACCACAATAACAATAATAACGAAAACGGAGACACTACTTGACTGAATGTTTGTTATGAGCATAATTGTTTGAAAAATGGTCATGAGTATGGTTGCCAGAATTTTGCACATTCTGAAAATTTGGCAACTTCTACTAAAGTGGTTGCAATAACATGTAAGTACCAAAAGAAGTAGAAAATCTAATCAATGAATGGAAAATAAATATGAATATATTAAAAATTCTAATATTACATATATTAACAGTTACAATGTTTTCTGAGCAAAGCAAAACTTACTTTTCTGCGAAGCACCATCTTCATTTTCCCAACCAACAACAAAGGTATTTGGTAATTGATCGGGTGTAACAGGAGCAGCTTCTTGCATTTTTTTCTGAATGATAGAAGTCAAGTCTAAATATGCTTCATCTATGCTAGCTCTTTCAACGCAATCACTAAATTCACAAAGTACATCAATAACTTTAGCTCCAGCTTCCCTGTATCTATAGAATGAAAAACAAAAACATACATTTGTTTTCTGCAAAAAATTATCGAATTGATGTGCAAACATAAAAGAGTTGTTTTCTATAAATATATAACACAAACATTGGGAAGAAATCCAAATTTTTTGTTATATATTTATAGAAAATCCCCAGATACATTGTCAAACATAATTTATCTGTGTTATGCAGAATGCTGCATACAGGAGTTTTAGAAACAGTACTAACTTGAAGGTGTATTTTTTACCAGCTGGAGATTATACTTTTGTTCTTATGACAGCAGTGCACAAAAACAAAAACAAAAAAAAACAAAAAACAAAAAAATCCTCCTGTTCTTTTTCAATGCAAAAACTATTGGATAATTCTCTAAGGTATAACAGGTACTGGAAGAGCTAATGAGATTTATAAGGTTAGGTTAAGTCACTTGAATATGGCAAAGCACACAAGAGCTAACTGCATAAGAGAAGGGACGTCTTCATGGGAGACTTTCTAAGGGAAACTGGCTCGTATCCATGCTACACATGGGAAAACTGTGAAAACCAATTCTGCACTAAGCTCTTTTTTCTGGGCTCAAACCCAGATTGAACTACAAGCATTCAGACACTTGGCCACTCTGCTAATGCTACAGCTGTTTTCTAAGGTAAAATATATAATAATTTATATTAAACAATAAGCATTGAAGATAATTCTAAGATTTAATTCCAGCACTGTAGAGAAAGTATGAAGAAAGAATATTAACTGTTAAAAATCTATAAGGCTTAAAAAAAACACTGCAATGTAAAATCTTATATCATCAATCCAACCAGGGCTTATGTAATCATGATACAAAGAGCAAATGGAAAATAAATGCTATTTTACAACACAAACCAAAGATATTTTTTCTTACTTAGTTAAGTCAGCTTTACCCCTAACTTCAGGAACTCTGAACAGATGAATGTCGGGACACTTTTCTTGGGCTTCATCACCTTTTAAAAAACGGCTAACTCCTTTTGCACGAGCTTCATAATTTACAGCAATTATACTAAAAAATGCAATAATAAATAAGCATAAATTAATTATACAATATTTTTCAAATTATATGGAACACTACTTCAACTAAAAAAAAATTACTACATTTACAAAGTAATTTAAAAAACACTACAGACTGGCAAATATTAGTCATGGCTAAATATAATGTATATCTAAGAAATATGCTTTGAGAAACAAAAATGTCATCTGCAAAGTGCAAAATATCATCTAAAATTAAATTTTCAAAAGCATACTATTTATATAAGTAGCAATAATGATTTTTGTTGGAGACTTCTTATGACATGCTATAGATAATGTTAATTTGTTACATTTAAATTATTATTTAACATTTAAATTTTAAATTAGTAAATTTTTACTTCACTCAGTATTCCTATAATTAATGCACTATAATTTATTAAAAGTTATTATTAAAGGTACCTGTATTAAAAACAGCACACAGGGAGCTACTGCATTAAATGGTTTGTTTTGGTTTATTTAATTATGGCAAGGTACACGACGGCTATCTGCCTAAGAGGAGGGATGGCTTTGTGGAGTACTTTCTAAGAGAAACTTGCTCATATACATGTTACACATGAAGAAAACCATGAAAACATCCATGCCTCCAGTCCGTTCACCGAGATTAAAACCTCCGGACCAAACTACCAGTGTTCAGCGATTTTACCACTCAGCTGCTGGTGGGCACTATTACACTAAATGCACTTATTGTATTACTTAGGGTTATGTGAGACTAGCAGATAAGTCCTCATATAACACTTATGTTATGTGTTAAAGACATGTTCCTAAAATCATGCATATAGCTTGGTTCTGCGATTCATTTTAGCTTTACCAAGTTCTTGATAGCACAACATATGCCAAGCAATGCCTAAAATTTATAACAATGTAAGTATAGGTAGATATGGGCAGGGTATCGGAAATCCATCATCTTTATATATATAAGCAGCTAAAGTGTGTGTCGCCGATAGTTTATTGTTGCCACTTGGAAAAATCAGGGTGGAAATGAACGTTTCTGCAGTTTTTAATTAATATCTCGGCCGATTAAAGTTGTACGAAGATGAGAACGATATCGATGGGATTGGAGAATTTTTTGGAATCCGAGGATACGCGTCTCGAATTTAAACTTTTCGCCGATCCGTAGATATTCGAGAAAAAAGAATTTGGCACGTAGCCAAATCCCTCTAATAGGGAAAAACCCAAGAAAGAAAGTGGAAAATGTAGGGAAAAATTAGTTTTTAATTAATATCTCGGCTAATTAAGGTCCCAAGAAGATGCGAATGGTCAAAATGGCGTGCCACGGACCTGCGGAATTCAACGGTGTGCTTTGCTAAGCCCGGGAGCCAGTTGTTTCGGAAGAGATAATGTTACTTCACCCCATATATATATGCGGCTTAAGTGTCTGTTTGTCGCCAAGAGTTTATTGGTTGCTTGCGTAACTGTACTAGCCAATGGGGGTGAAGTTGCCACGGCACAGGGTTGCTGTTTCAATTGAGATGTAGAGAATTTCCTGTAAAACTTGCCTTTGCTATGATCAATATTTCTCAGAGCCAAATGCTTAAGCATGTTGGCATTTTTTTACCTGAGCCTGCATTTGGACACGGTCAACTTTATGTTTCCTGGTCAAGAGTTCATGAAAGAACGGACGTAAAACTAAAAATAATTGATGGTCCTCTGCAAGGCGAGCTTAAAAATGATGGAAAGATCTACACAAGAAATGTTGTGTACAAAGAGATCTTTGACATGGGAATTAACATTTCATTATTTAATCACTTTTATTGATTGAGCTAGCGGTGGCTCTTAAGAAATGTACCGCCAGTGGTTTCCTTCATTGCGCTCTACTTTAAGCAATTAAGCAAGTAGAAGGGGGAAACCCCGTGGGGCAGTAAGCAAAGGGGCGTCCTCGCCACCTGCCCTGGGCAATTCAGTTTAAATTAGCAGACACCTTTGCACAAATCATTTTAATTACAATTTATAATATCTAGAATAGCAGTCATTTCGTATGACCGCAGGGCTTTCTAGTTGATCATACAGGTATTGTGGGGTCACAGTAATTGTACATTTTCACCCTAATTTTAAGGGTGAACACCCCAGAGGTGATCCAAGGGTCTTCCACCCCTTTTTCCTCTACCACTAATCTCTTGAGAGGACTTTTGGTTCACCATATATTTTGAGTGCCCCTTGCTGCACAGACACTATATGCTTACAAACATCCATGCCTTCTCAGGAACCTGGACCCTTCGTTAGGCAGTCAGCATCCCTAACTACTGCGGAGAATCGCTCTCTTTATCCCCCACCAGATGGCAACTGTTGCCAGAACTAGATTTCTTTCGCAAAAGTGCATTCTGGGGTTAGAGAATGCTCTGTTTTGAGCACTGCTGTGTGGACTAGCATGGAATCTAGAGATTTTAACTACAACATTTAATATTGTGTATGCCTACTATATCTTTTCGATAGTGCATTTGTTATTATTAATCTTAACTGTTATTTAAGTTGTGAATTTTTAATCGTTAACTCTATGGCTGTCATTAATCAATGAATAACTTCTGTGCATGTGATAATCTAGTGTTTCACACCACTATATCGGCTGATAACAATGAAGTAAAGTACCTGTGCCTGCATGTCTCCAACCAAACATTCATAATTTAGTGTGTATCCAGACAAAGATAATAATGAAGCTTCAACATGGGAATAAGCAAGTACAAAATAGTGTTTAGTCTTTGTGAACTTATATAAGAAAACCAATTCACACCGTATGTGGATCCAAAACAGAAACAGATATATTTACTACCTTTTGTTATATTTGAGATTCTTCTCTCAACTGACATCCAAAAATCTTCCTCAAGTTTTCTGGCTTGTTAGGGTAAATCAATGTATAAAATTATAATTTGATCTTCTAACACTTTCTCAGTCCTCCTCTAATATTAAATGCATAAGAAATTTTTGTAGCAACATGCTTAACGTTTATGAAACTACAACACTTGCATTTCATAGTATTTTTTAAAATAATTACATTTTTTAAGTAGCTGGTATCTTCTCAATTTTAATTTCCCAGTATCACCAATCACACAATATTTTTTTTTTAACCAACAGAGAGAATTAAGGTACACACATTTTCCTGTTGACCGTGAAACTGTCGTCAAACAGCACAATTTGGTGTCAATTATGGATAAGTGTGACATAACAGACAAAAATCTATGCTTCTGTTTAATGTAACCTTAATTCTCAATAAGCCACATTTTTAATGAGCATGGATATAGTAACTATTATTGCTGTATTTTTTCTCTGGATTTGGGGAAAAAAAATTAAAGTGTAAAGAATCATATTTATGACTGCACTACAGTTCATTTAGAGCTGAGAGAATTAACATCAATTGAATGGAGAAAAGAACAGCTGGATTCTGTCAAAAAAAAAAAAACAATAATAGATTGGAAAAATCACGTGTAGGAAGTTTGCATTTATCGTATTTTAAACTATTCCGATAAAATCCAAGGCCTCACAAAATAGCAGAAATCGATGAAATCTTTTTTATGAAATGCAGAAAAGAAGTGGGTCAAATACTTCCACAGCAAGGGCTATGGTGCTGAGATAGTGACAAATATTAGTTTAGAATTCAAACAACAAAAATCAGCGTAATATTTGCAAATTTTCACAGGACTAATTTTGATTGTTTTTCTGAACCATCAAAACTAGTCCTGTGAAAATCTGCAAATATAATGCTGACTTTTGTTGTTTGAATTCAAACTAATACTTGTTCGGAGTGTTATTTTATCTTAATTAGAGGACAAATGTTTTATTATAAGAGTTGCAGACAAAACTGCCACTCAGAATTTCACAGGAACAGTTAACGACACACTAGCAAACAGATAGTGACTCAGTAAACTCAGCAGTGCTAGCCATCTTTCATAGACAATTGCATAATATGCAAGTACCAGAGTTAATATAAGTTTGAGAGATTTAACATTTTTGTTCTCTGGATAACCACAGATCAAAAGCAATTATTTTTTTTTTTCATCAGATTTAATCACAACTCTATAAGCATCACAGCTTGTTTCTATTAACACACTGGGTAAAATCCTAGTATACAATACAGTCTTAGTACAATTTTGAAAATTTTCACCAATACCAAAATGACTCGTTTACTAGCCCATCATAATGTGGCCATATTCCATGTGTACCCTATAATAGGATTATGTCCCCCACACTGAACATACAGCTAAACTTTTTTTCTCTTAACTAGCATTTATAATGTAATGCTATGTTTATTAATTTTCAAGATACTGCATTATATAAAAAATTAGACAAACAAAATACAGTAAATAAGATTAAACTTCATAGGAACATATTTACTCAGCCAAACTAATACAAACACATTTTGGAAAAAAATTTAGATACTTTTTTGTTGGTGAGAATGTTGATTTGACAAGAAACAGTCGTTTAGGTTTACCTATCTGCACATATGCCTTTCTCCTAAAATATGAAACAATCGTTTATGTTTACCTATTTGCGCATATGCCTTTCTTCTAAAATATAACAATTTTTCATTCATGCTCGCAATTTGCATTTCTTTGGTTATTGTTTTTAAAATCTAGCAATTTTTCAATAGTTCTGCATATAAACAATCTAGCAATTTTTTAGTAGTTCTACATATATATAGTTCTGCATGTTTTTAAAATCTAGCAATTTTTCAATGATATAAACATTTCTTCTACCTTTGATTTTAAAATATAACAGCTTTTCATGTGTGCTTAAAAGTTGACATTTCTTTGGCTAATGAAAATATTCACTTTTAAATTACAGTGGTTTTTCATTTCAAATATTTATCATGCTTGCTATTTTCAATCTACTATAAGGTATTTCATGCCTTCATGGTGTGATGGTCAGCACGTTCGGCGTGTATTTGAGAGGTCCGTGGTTCGAGTCCCGGCAAGGGCATTGCTCCTTTTTCATCTCTTCTGCTTCAAAATATCCAAATGACTCTACAGAGGCACCCGAACTAAAAAAACTGATGGATGATGATTCTCCACCACTAGGATTTAACAACTAGGATTTCCTAATCCCAAGTTACCCTTTACAAGAGGAAGTATATAAGGTATTTCTCCTACATTCTTAGCATGCCTTTATGGTGCAATGGTCAACATGCTCGGCGTGTATTTGAGAGGTTCGTGGTTCGCGTCTCATTGAGGGCATTTCATATTTCATCTGCTTCAATATATTCTAATGACTCGAGTGTGTATACCTACACATATAAACATATACGCACATTTCTGAGTCTGGTCCCAATGACAGAAGTGTATCAAAGAGGCTATAATTTATTACGGGAAGAAAAAGGTATTTTACCAAAAGAAAGATTTACGAAAATAGGTATAATATGCAGTTATATGTTGGTTTCATGCTGAAAATTAATTTAGGGAATCATAAATATGTTTTCTTATGACACTGCATGGATCAACAAAATGATGAAACAAAAGGCACAGAAGTACGGTTTGCCATCACCTGAATTCCTATTTAGCAGTGTTCATGTTCAGGTACCAAGTTGGCCACGATATTGGGTTTGAGACACAATTAGCAGTAACCGCTGAACTGTACTTATCAGAAAGAAACTATAAAAAAATGAATTTTCTTATACCTATGTTACATCTTTAATAAATTGCTAACAAAATTTTATACTATAATAAATTAAATACTTTCAAATTTATGATTTTGTTTGATAATAAAAGTATAATTAGTATTTTGTAAGAAAAAAACACTATATTGACAGAATGTAATTACATTTGTTTTCTGCACATATGCAAATCAATAACCTTTTATTTCTTGCCAATGCAGATATGCACCCAAATCAACATTCTCACAAAGGCCACCAAAAATGATAAGTGGTCTTCTGTTCTTCAAGTTTGATATGCACCCAAATCAACATTCTCACAAAGGCCACCAAAAATGATAAGTGGTCTTCTGTTCTTCAAGTTTGAGCTGTAAAAATTCTGTAAACTGCAAGAGCACTTCAAAGACTGGTTTAACTCTTCTATAGACACGACACCAATCAATCTACCACAATAATTAACCCTCTGAGCAGCCAGGATTTTCACTAAGAAAGCACAAATTTCCTAAAACTACTATGAGAACAATTTTTTTAAAAATTTTAATGTAAAATCTCTCCTGGTATTTCATACCTGGATTTGTTTTCTTTTGATATATTGCCTTAACTTCTTTGACATATTTTAATATGCACGGCACGTATATATACGTTCTTGCAGACATCACAAAAAATATTCTAGGCCATACATATACGGCTGCTTAGAGGGTTAAATGACTAATGGACTACAATAATTGAATGATGAATGGTCATAAATGTTTCAGAATATGTTACTTTAAGTGACACTTAAAAGATGAATCTAGGAAAATGATGCAACTGTTTGTCCCTTATACTGCATAAGAATAAAAAGCACATAACATGTAAGAAGTACGAAAATTGAGAAATATCGATGGGAATGTTAAAAACTGATTTTTATTTCACACAGATGCAAGTTACTCAAAATAAATAAATTTGTAATGCTCACCTTCCCCCTTTCCATGATTTGTACTGCACGACAGCACATGGTTTATTTTGATATTCTGAACAAAGTTTTTGCTCTACTTGCACATAAAAACAATCCATGTCTACTAACACAATAACTCGCTCTCCATTTTTAAAATCCATTTTGACACAGTAGATATTCAGAAAAAAAACGAATTAACATTGCACATTTTCCTCAAATATCCACTGACTCAGAGATCTGGAAAGAAAACATAAGGATTTTTTAAAAAAAGCAAATATTTCCTTAAATCATGCACATGAACAGTCAAATGTGGGAAAGGGAAAATATTAGCATTTCTAAATTGACTGAATTCCGTTACTCATATTATGCCAGTTATTTTTACAGTAAAACATATAAACCATACTGCAGCTTACACACAATTCCTATCAATTACAGAATAATTATTCATGAAAATTACATATATATGATATTAATAACAAACTCACCTTAATATTTAATTTGAAACTGCTTTTCCACAGTGCACTTTAAAATTTACTGCTCAAAAATTTGTTCATAAAACCATTTCTTCAACACTAAACTATAAAATTGTCCTTGTTCAATGTTATTGTTTATGGAATTAACTTCATAAAAATCTAATTTTAAGGTAAATACGTGCAATCATGGTGAAAATTTGTTTCATAATTAGCTGAAAATATTTATTTTGGGGTATTTCAAACACAGAAATGATAAGAATAAAATAAATTATAGCAAGAAAACCGACTGAAAATGCATAATAAAAATAAGTAAAGAAAAGGCACGCGGTAAATGGATTGCACTGTCATAGTACCCATACTTAATATAATTTTGAGATGATGGTAAAATAGACTGAAATATTCCAGTTAATATTTTATTATGTCAATTATTACGCAACAAAAGATCGCTTTCATAAAGATCTTCAAAAGAAAGGTATATTAGATAAATGTTAGAAAATTTAATTGTGCGATAAATTTAGTTAAAGATTAATAATAACTGCTAATAGCATACAGCTACAATCTGCGGGATATAGATGCGTTAAGAATCCTTCAACTTACCGCCAAAACATTGTCTATATAACTACGTCACATGAATCGCACACTGAAGTGGCGGGCATAGTCGATCCAATGGCACATACTACGTCTAGAGATACGACGAGATCTGAAGTTTGAATGGATACATGTGACAGTTTCTCACTGCGCATGCGTGCGATGGAAACGGTCCGAGTTCGTATGAGATGAAGTACAAGCGGCAGACGATGTCAATAATCATTCAAGCGCTTTTGAATGTAGAAGTATGGAGTTGGTCTTCAATTAGACACCTTAGAAAACTTTATTAGCGCCTCTCAGTAAAATTAAATATCCAGTGCAGTGTTTGAATCACAGATATTTTGATTCTTGATTGTGAATTAAAGTGATTATTCATATCACAGGAGGATTACATATGAACTTTTTCAGTAACTGTGGTGTCCCGGCCGGCCACGAGGATTAATCATCTTTAAAATCTACCTGTTCCGCAGACGGGTCGTGCGACCATACTTCCGGTAAGCTCCATGTCCGTACTTAAATAAAAAATTAGTTTCAAAAGGATCATATATATATCTAAATAATTTTTTTCATACTTATATTTTTAATAATATTTGTTACCTATATCAGTGATAGTTCGATACAAAATTTTATAATTTCATAATATATAATTTCAATTTAATAAATAATTTGTGTATTTGCATACATTCAAATTTTATGTAGAAAGAAGAAGCGAATTAGGTGCAAAAGAAATTTTATGGAAAAAAACTGTTTCAATAGCAGCATGCATATGAAAAGATTTGTCAAAAATTTGTGAGGAATGGACATTTTTTAATCACTGTGATCGTACCTGATTTTGTTCAGTTTCGGTCTTCAGGCGCATTTGGCGCTCGCGCACTGATGCGTTGTGGGTGCTCCGAAAGTGTAAGCACGTGTTGATTGTTTAAGCACATCAGAAATTTTCCGAGCTGGAAATTGAGGTTGAAGAGATAAATTACACTAGTGGAAGCGAATTTAATTTCCTGTATATATCTATTTTAGTTTTCTTTTAATTTTATAGTAGTAAATACGGCATGTCATGTTGAATTCATTAATCCTAGCATGAGCAAAATAAATCAATAAATTTATCCGGAAGCCGTAGATAAAATGATAATAGTAATATACTGTTGAAACGCGATTTTAATAAAACTGCTGTAATTTATTTTTGAATAGTATTATTTAATACGTTACCATATTAAATCAAAGTATTGTAAATCATTAAAAATTTGCATTCTAAAATATCAGTCCTGTTTAAGATAATTCGAAACTGCTATTGTAATCATCGCAGTAATTTTTATTATTAAATTTTGCTATTTCTCCAATCTTAATGTCCCTTTATTATCTTTGAAATTTTGTCTTATGTGTTATTTACGTGGATGTGAATACTTTTTCGTATATTTTTTATTATCATATTAATGATACAAATTTCTAACTAATTCCTTTTTTTGCACAGTTGTTAAGTTTTATTTGTTAAACAAGTGCAAAATCGTATTTTTGTTAAATAGCAAATTAACATTATTTTCAGTTGAAGAAAAAGGTAAAGATTTAGATATTTGAAGAAGAGAGGTGCTTAGTATGTATTTTCATGGAAACAGCTATACAGTTCCTTTCTTTATAATTTTCTTTGTTTTTAATGAGTAAAGCATTGCATAATTTAATACAGAATATATATTATTCTTTGCAGGGCTTAATTACTAAGATTAGAAGTGCCGAAACCCTAATGCCATAAATAAAGAAGGGAAAAGATAAAATAACAATTAGAACAATAAAATAATTAATAATTAAAATAATTAGTAATTAAAAAATAAAAAAAAATCTGAAATGTTTCAGATTTTAAATTACGTGCAAAGGGGCGTTTTGTTACCTTTATTTATTAATTATCATGGTCTTTGCACTTAAACCATAAAATTCAGTTCAACAGCAATGCTGCAAAATAATTTTAAAATGAGCATATCTTTTGAAGTTCCCGATACACAGTTCCGCGCGCTGGAGATAAAATGTCCCCCCCCCCGTAGAGGTTTCCATTGCTCGCTTTTAAATCGTTGAGTTTGTTAATCAAAAATTCGTTAAAGTTTTACAAATATGAAATCGATAAGAAAACAAATCCCAGATTTCAAATTTGGGCTTCCAGATGCCCATATTCGTAGTAGGATTACGTCATTCAAAATTGAATGGCTCTAGGTACTCTTATTTTAGCACAATGCGAGAAACATTGTGCTAAAATAATTGTGCTAAAACATTGTGCAAAATACATTTATGCAATAATTATGAATTATTAATAAATAAATTAAAATACATTTATGCAGATTCTTCATTATTTAATTTCTTCAAATATAATACAGGGCGATAGTATTTGGTGATAGTGTTTGAAAAGTCATATGCCGTTTATAGAGCTCCGACGCAAAATCGCAAAACGAAAACAATAGTCCTTCAGGGACAAACCCCCTTTGGACTAAAAATAAGAAAATACTTAGTAATTAAAATATTGAAAATTTAAAATAATAAAATAATTAGTGACTAAAATATTAAATAATTAAAATAATTAGCAATTAGAATGTTAAGCAATTAAAATTTAGTAAAAATTTAAAGACAAGTAAAAATTTAATTATTGATGAATAGTTAAATAATAAATAAAATCTCGGATCTCGTCTTATTTGGGGCTGCAGCTGGGATTACAGTTTTATAAGAAGAACTAAAATATAGATCAGCGGGCATTAATTAAATTTAGGCCCTGAATGAACAGATAATGCGCTCTTTTAAAAGGATGATAGAAACAAAGACCATAATTTTTCCAGCATATCAATGAAAAATCGTAAAACAAAGCGCAGCAAATGAAAAGACCGAATGCTAGAAACAGTACCCAGAGTATGAAAGGAAATTTTGATTACGTAACCCTTTCGTCAAATTTTCATTCCCCTTTTCACCCGCGGAGGAATATCTTTTCCCCAATGTTCTCCTAACTTTCCCCACTATTCGGGGGCTGACAGTTTGAGACCACTGCTATAGGGTTTAAATGGGAACCTATAGCATAATTTTAGCAATAGATTATCCACTGAAATATTGAATGCGTCGTTATTTTCATATTTTTATTAAATATAAACTTTTTGCTCAATGTCCGAATACTTATATAAGTTTATTCTCAGAACTATTTGAATAAATTTTCCCTTTTATTAAAATCATATTGAAAAACCAGCAGATTTTGGGAAAAAACATGATCAACAATAAATGTGAACTAAGTAATTTCGTTAATATTTCGTAAATGGTATTTGAAAATAAGACTAGAACACAAGTCTCCAAAAACAAATGTGGCCACTGTAACAAAAATCGAAAAGAGAGGTGAGGTTTTTGTTATGTAAATTTTGAAGCTTTAATTTCTACTTACTTCTGAAGCAATTCTATTCTTTTCTTAAATACTGCTTCACCACATATGATTAAGTCAAGGTATATGTCACTTTCATTCAGTATGAGCACGTTTATGTAGATTTGCAGTATTCTTTGGAGTAGGATATAGGAAGAGAAGTGAAGATGAGATTATTGGTCTTTCCAGGTTTTTCTTTTTTTTTTTTTTGGGGGGGGGAGTTGGAGAGAGCTATTGGAAATAAGTGTCTACATATATACATAGAATAAAAAGGGATGTCTGAGAAATAAAAAGGCATGCCTCTTATACTCTGTCTGTATGTAGACATCTTATCTATTTCTCAATGGTCCCTGTATATTACTATTATCAATGTAGTATCAACTGTTTACTATGAGTTGATAATTTCATACATTTCTCCAAATGCAAATGTTTCTTGCATTTATTTGAATTCGAGTTCGTTTTGATGGGCTTTTATTTAATTCACTGTGAGTGGAATTTTATCATCGTTTTTTAACCCACTTCCCGATAATCAGTCAAGTTCAAATTTTGTATACACACTGCCAATGAAAATACAATGTGGTGAAGTAATTTTTTTCAAAATTCGATTTTAATTTAATGTTTAAAAGATTTTTTCGCGCGTATGTTCTCTTAATGAGCAAATTAAGAATATCAGAATGTTACTGTTTGCATCATGGAATAGAGCGGAATAAATCTTTTCGATAAAACTTGTATGAAAATTGTTACTTAAGTTCTGAATTTTTGACGAATCTTCGAAAATCGCTCGATTTTTTTAGAATATTGGACGTTTATGATTTTAAAATTCCAACACTTAAATATATCGGATATAAAGTTTCGGAATTTTAATAGATTATAAAACAAGGTTCGCCCTCTTTTAAAATAAGAACGAAAAAATATATATTAACTGAATGATTTTCTACTTAAAAAAAAAAAAAGTGTGTTGAAGTCTCTAGCAGACGGAGGAAAAAATGCGTTTCTGGCGGAAAAATTGCTTTTGATTTGTCATTTTGGTGCTAGTAATGATGAATTGGTGATATTCGTTTTTTTCCTTTTAACTTCAAATAATAAATATAAAGAATAAATAAATAATATTCTTTCCTTTTAACTTCATTTTGTTTGAATTATGATATTCAAATAAAATGCTTGTTATTAAATTTAATTTCCAAAACTGAATATTAAAGCGAATTCTTCTTTCTCTGAATGACGTTCAGTTATTTTTCTGCATTTTGTAATTTTATTATAATTTATTGCAAGTGTTCTAACATTTTCTAAAAAATTTCATCATTAATAATAACATGTGAAAGGCCATAAGAAATGTGAATTATAAATAAATAAATTAAAAACGATTAATATACAGGGCTTAACTTCTAAAATTAGAAGTGCCGGAGCCCTATAGAAGACTGTCAAGAAAGAAGAACCAAAATAAATAAATAAATAAAATGACTAGTAAAATAATTACGAATAAATAATTAATTATTAAAATTAAATTATTAATGATTAGAATAATGAAACAATTGGTATTAAAATTTAATAAAATGTAAAGAGATAAATAAAAATATTATAATAATTATTAAATAAATGGTAAATTATTAAATAATAAAATAGAGCACTGGATCTTGACTTATTTGGGATTTCATCTGGACTTACAATTTCACACAAAAAATAAAAAACAGCTCAACCTGTCTCTGGTTTAAATTAAGCTCTGGATATAATATACTATTTCAAGGTATGATAAATATAAAGACGATTCTTTTTACAGCACATCAATGAAAAATGGTTAAAGTGTCATTGATAAAAATACAGAGAATGCTTTAAACAATAGGATAATATAGAGAAAATTTTAAATAATGACTTGTAAGTATGAAAACAAAAAGAGAAGAGTCGAGCGTTTTCTGACCACGATCAATATAATTCTAGCAACTAGCGCTTAAGCAGAATATGACTGGGGAGCAAATTTGCATCGAATCCGAGAGTCAGCTGAAAAAAGAGTAACGAGTGACCATTCTGATCCCCCGTCTTTAGCTACATCGTTCCAAAAATCTGCAGGTGCCCTTTTCCGTGGGAAGATACTAACCGTTGAAACGAAAAATTTACCCGCTGTTA